CTTATATAGAACGGATTTCCGTCGGAAATCCGTCACAAACCTCCGACATAACACCCCACCAATCCCATCGGCCACCGCTCACGAAATGGTAACCACTCAAATTTGCCGACATCGAATTTCCGACGGAATTAGTTCCGTCGGTATGAGCTGACCAATCAAACGTTGCCGACATCGGAAAAATCGGATTTCCGTCATTATCTCGTCGGAAAGTCGTCGGGAAATTACGACAGCTTATTTCCGTCGGAAATCCGTCGTCATGTCCCGACGGATTTCCGACGGAATACCGACGGTTTCCGTGTCCGTCGGAAATCCGTCAAAAAATTCCGACGGAAATTTCGGCCGTTGGAAATTCTGTCGGAATATTGTTTGTTTTCTTGTATGATCATGTGATGTAAATATAATATATATTGGGAAAAGTATGAGGAAGCAATGAGTACAACTAGATACATTTTTAATCTTATAACTACTTTGGTATTTTTAGTTTTAAAAAATTAGGTTTTTTGTTCAATCAATAGCTTCATGTGATAACTAATTTATAATAGAAAGCATATAGATCTTGTACTTTTACTTTAATTTAAACAATTTTAAGCAAAATATAAAGAAAATATAAGCAAAATCTACTATATAAAAGATGGCCAACACTTTTCATAGCTAAACACGTAGCGGTGTATATAGTTGAACACGTGTTTAGAAGAAGAAAAAAACAAACAAAACAAGCCACTTAAAAAGACAAAAAAAAAACATATCTTTGCGCCTCTTCGTCTAGGATTTCTACCGCTAAAAAGATTCAGATCTCCACTATCATTCGGGTATCTAACCAAGGAGAAGGCAATCATCGGAATATTTTTTGTTGTTGTTTTTTTTTCTTCGAAAATGTCGCGTGTCGCCGTAAAACCAGAATCTCGTTCCTCGTTGTCCAATCAAATTTTCTTTTCCTGCTTCATCATTATATTTGTGGTTTTAGAAGATGAGATATATATATACTTTAATTGTTGTAATCTTGTTCCTTCGACAAATCCTATCTACAACTTTGGAAACGAATCCTACTTCTATCCCTCCCTCTTTTCGCTGTAAAGCTCCCTTCTTTATCAATGTAAACAATCGTCTCATGCACCAAACCTAAGCTCATTGTCTGTTATCGTTTTGGCTGGAATTAGCTGCACCAAAAAAAAACACAATACACAAACATGTCAAATACCATTGAAGTAGACATTAGTAAACACAATCTAAACTCTTTGTCAATTTTACTACATGATCATTCCTTGTCTGAAGGTAGTAATATAGGATGGACTAGCCATAACATGATTAATACTTTGGCTTAATTGACAATAAAAATAAAATATAAACAAACAAAAATGCAACAATTCATATTTTGGCTTAATTGATCATGATTAAGTCTTAAATTCAATGACTATGACATCGGTGCATAAATTTAGAAATCATAAAAAGAAAATAAAGATGCAAATTTGAGGTATTGATTTACATTTTCTTCTCGTATTAAAAAACTCATATATGTTTTTTCATGATTAAGAAACTTGCATGCATGAAGACGCTGCATAAATTACGTATTGCAAAAAAAAAAAA